GCAGGAACACGGATGGTGCTGGAGGCTGTTATTCTTGGTGAACTAATGCAGGAACAGAAAGCCAAATGCCGCATGTTCTCACTTACAAGTGGGAACTAAATAATGAGAACATATGGACACATAAAAGGGAACAACAAACACTGGGTCCTACTGGTGGGAGGAAGTACAAAGAGAGAGAGGATTAGGAAAAATAATGGATACTAGGGTGATGAAATAATCTGTACAAGAAACCCCCATGATACAAGTTTACCTACGTAACAAACCTGCATATGTACCCCTAAACTTAAAATAAAAGTTAAAAAAAATCCTATTTCACAGAACTTGTTGGAATATTCTTTAAAATGTAGAAAGAGATACCTTTATTCTGAAGCGGAAAGATATATCTTAATGCAGACTAAAAAAAGGCTTTCGATCATTTTATTACTTTTTTGGGGGTAGTTTCACTTAATCATAATCAGAAGGAAAAGATGTCAAACTAAAATATAATTGCAATTTGTATATTCCTTTAAATAAAATTAGAAAGCATGATATGACATGTTTTTAAAAATTATTCCAGGAAAACAAATCTGATTCTTTTTCTGAAATAAGGTACAACATTGTGGATATAATAATCACAAATTATAAAGGCTTGCCAAGCAGGTCTGCAGAAACATAAGGAAAGTTTATCTGCCTAAGTTTGCTTTCCTTTCTCGATAATGTGTTTTAAGTTGTATCATAAGGCATATAATTCACCTGTAAACAATATTCAAGATAACATGTTACTTTTTGAGAGAAGAATTCTGAACTGAAGTATTACTAGTTTTATACTGCTAAGTAAACTCCACCCTGTTTCTTATGGATCAAGGCACCCAGCTGGATGGCATGTTCTAACCATTTAGACTGCTAAAAGGAAAGCTCTTGAAAAATAAAGATGAGCTCAAGGAACTGAAACACTAATACCATAGCACCTTTGTCAATGAACGAAATCCAGCTTTAAGTATCACTGTAAATGATAAGTTAAGAACTATTTGCAAGGGATATGAAATTAGTATTTTTAGAAATTCATTATTTAGGCAAAGCCCTTCCTAAAGATTTAGGTAAGCTTTGGGAAAATCTCTGAATGTGCTTTTGTTCTTTCACTGAAGATTTCAGTTGAAGATCAATGCAATAGAAAAGATCTTTGTTGCATTCTGGGTAAAACTGATATCTGTGTGTAAATAGCAAGCTCACTAGAATGTATCTGTTAAACACTTTATTAAATCTTCAGATGCTAGAAGCAGATACGTGCTATCACATATCAACAGAACTCAACATAAATGTTTCCCAAAAATTACACTGCTAAACTCTGTCAAATCTGTCAATTAATTTTGTTTTCTATATAGTATAACACCTATCATCCAACAATTAGTAAAGCAGAAAATAAAGTCAACAATGTATGTGTTTTAGTAGTGTGATGCAAGATGATGCCAAAGTGGCAGATTTTCAATCAAATCTGAAGGTCCATATAGATCAGCAATTCTGTCCAATCTTTATTAAGGCGTGCATTCTGGTCTGGGCACAAATCAATTATTTGGTCTCTCTCTTTTTTTTTATTATACTTAAAGTTCTGAGGTACATGTGCAGAATGTGCAGGTTTGTTACACAGGTATACATGTGCCATGGTGATTTGCTGCACCCCATCAACTTGTTATCTACATTGGGTTTTCTCCTAATGCTATCCCTCCCTACTCCCTCAGCCCCCAACAGGCCCCAGTGTATGATGCTCCCCCTTCCCTGTGTCCATGTGTTCTCATTTGACTCCCACTTATGAGTGAGAACATGTGGTGTTTGGTTTTCTGTTCTTGTGTTTCTTTGCTGAGAATGATGGTTTTCAGATTCATCCATGTCCCTGCAAAGGACATGAATGCATCCTTTTTTATGGCTGCATAGTATTCCATGGTGTATAAGTGTCACATTTTCTTTGTCCATCCATCCTTGATGGGCATCTGGGTTGGTTCCAAGTCTTTGCTATTTTGAACACTGCCACAATAAACATTTGTGTGCATGTGTCTTTATAGAATGATTTAATCTTTGGGTTTATAACCAGAAATGAGATTGCTGGGTCAAATGGTATTTCTAGTTCTAGATCCTTGAGGAATCACCACACTGTCTTCCACAATGGTTGAATTAATTTACACTCCCACCAACGGTGTAAAAGTGTTCCTATTTCTCCACATCCTCTCCAGCATCTGTTGTTTTCTGACTTTTTAATGATCACCATTCTAACTGGTGTGCGATGGTATCTCAATGTGGTTTTGATTTGCATTTCTCTAATGACCAGTGATGATGAGCTTTTTTTTCAAGTTTGTTGGCTGCAGAAATGTCTTCTTTTGAGAAGTGTCTGTTCATACCTTCACCCACTTTTTGATTTGGCAAAGTCTAAGAACACAAAATCAATGTGCAAAAATCACAAGCATTCCTATACACTAATAACAGACAGAAAGTCAAATCATGAGTGAACTCCCATTCACAACTGCTACAAAGAGAATAAAATATCTAGGAATATAACTTACAAGGGATGTGAAGGACCTCTTCAAGGAGAACTATAAACCACTGCTCAAGGAAATAAGAGAGTACACAAACAAATGGAAAACCATTCCATGCTCATGGATAGGCAGAATCAATATAATGAAAATGGCCATACTGTCCAAAGTAATTTATAGACTCAATGCTATCCCCATCAAGTTACCACTGACTTTCTTCACAGAATTGGAAAAAACTGCTTTAAATTTTATATGAAACCAAAAAAGAGCCTGCATAGCCAAGACAATCCTAAGTAAAAAGAACAAAGCTGGAGGCATCACACTATCTGACTTCAAACTATACAACAAGGCTACAGTAACATAAACAGCATGGTACTGGTACCACAACAGATATATAGACCAATGGAACAGAACAGAGGCCTCAGAAATGATACCACACATCTACAACCATCTGATCTTTGACAAACCTCACAAAAACAAGCATTGAGGAAAGGATTCCCTATTTAATAAATGATGCTGGGAAAACTTGCTAGCCATATGCAGAGAGCTGAAACTGGATTCCTTCCTTACACCTTATACAAAAATTAACTCAACATAAGACTGGAACCATAAAAACCCTAGAAGGAAATCTAGGCAATACCATTCAGGACAAAGGCATGGGCAAAGACTTCACGACTAAAACACGAAAAGCAATTGCGACAAAAGCCAAAATTGCTTTAAATTTTATATGAAACCAAAAAACTGCTTACACCTTATACAAAAATTAACAACATAAGACTGGAACCATAAAAACCCTAGAAGGAAACCTAGGCAGTACCATTCAGGACAAAGGCAAGGGCAAAGACTTCACGACTAAAACACCAAAAGCAATTGCGACAAAAGCCAAAATTGACAAACAGCATCTAATTAAACTAAAGAGCTCTAAACAGCAAAAGAAACTATCATCAGAGTGAGCAAGCAATATACAGAATGGAGAAAATTTTTGTAGTCTATTCTTCTGACAAAGGGCTAATATCCAGAATCTACAAAGAACTTATTTGCTCTTTTGATCAAATTTATTCAGGCTTTAGATATAATCAATCTAAAATACTGCTTGATGTATTTCCATCACAGATGTACAGGCCATGCAACTGGCATATGGCAAACTGAAGAACTGGCAAGCAGGACACACAAAAGGACTGGGAACTATATGTATGACTGAGACTGTCAACTAACCGCTATTTGATGGGACGTATGGTAATTGTTGCAATACAATCCACTATTTTATGTTCCTATTTGCTTACCAATCACTGAAAAACTGTTAGCATAATGAGGTCTAGAGTAGGCAACAGGCATGTATAAATTCCTTCCCATGGAAATAATGCATGTGGCACTATACAGCTTAAAGTAAGTCATAGGACAAGGGGCAAGGAGGAGAGCTAAGGAAAGATGAATAATCTGTAAGATAAAATTAAAAACACACTGTGGTAAAGCTAGAGACTGCTAAAATACCAGAGAAAGACTATCTGTTAAAAGCTATCAGAGATAGTTTGGTTAATTTTGAGGAAACAAGAGGCATAGAAATACCAATAAGAGGCTCCTCAACGAAACCATCATTATAACAAAATGAAAACCTTTAAAAAGATCAGGTGCCAGCTTGCAGAAGCATGTAGCATGCCACAAAGAAGGTAAGGCAACAGGTACCTGAGTGGGAAAAGGATAGGTTGTGTAGATCTTGCTAGGCCAGGATTAAAGGCACTTTCTAAAAGACCAAGATAATAAAAGTATTGCATGTTACTAGAAATGGCCACTGAAACAAAAACAAAAACAAATTCCCTAGAAAAATACAGCTTGAGTATCTCTTATCTAAAATGCTTGGGATCAGAAGTGTTTTGAATTTCAGATTTTTTTGAACTTTGGAATATTTGCATATATATAATGAAAGATCTTGGAGACAGGACTTGAGTCTAAACAAGAAATTCATATGTTTCATAGCCTAAAGGTAAAACAAGTTGACTGCAAACCATCACATGAGGTTAGGTGTGGAATTTTCCACTTGTGGTGTCAGGATGGCATTCAAAAAGTTTTGGATTTTGAAGCATTTTGGATATTGGATTTTCAGATTAGGGATGCTCAACTTATACATGATGATCAGCATAGTTCACCTGCAGTTTGGCTAGGGCTGAATCTGGTCCATAGTCACTTCTGAAATCCAAGATCTTAAAGTTATTTCTCCCATTACCACAGCCCTTTACATTTGTTGTTTATTTTAGAATTTTGAGGAACCAATGCTTTTAAATATTGATAACTATACAATGCCTGTCTACGAGGAGTACAATGTATTTGTGTTTATCTTTCTCTAGACTCAGCAGAAACTAACTGGTCACATGCTAAAAGGGATCATTTCACTTCTTAAGGGAGGTTTAAATAAGTATGGAAATAGGAAACAAAGGAACTTTTTGGCTTTTGCCCATTTCCATCTGTTCCTGGGCATCCTTAAAGCCCTTCTGTGGTTCTAACCTCTTAAATCCTGCTGTGTGCGAGCACCACCCATACTCTGTCTTGGCATTCGTAGAGAAGTTCTCAAAGGTGTATGTCTCTGCTCATCCAGGTAAGCAAGGTCTTCCAAGTGGGCAGAGCTCGTGGCTGACAAGAAAGAAAAGTTTAGTTAGAATATTTAAGTTTAGAAAACATCTTTCAGCTAGTCTGTATTTCCCAAACTTTGAAATCACGGCTTACTGCAGCCAAAAATATATATGCAAAATATGTAATACATATAAAATACATATATTTTATGCCTTTAAAAATCCAAGTAAGTGGTTTTTAAAAAATATTAACCCTTCATTTCACTTGCTAGTTTAAGACAGTATATAATAAACCTGTAATTGCCAAGAGATTCTATAACCTTAAACAGGGAAATTAAATATTTCCTATTCAAAAACTAAGAAACAAATTAAGCAAATAAACATAAAACCCCACTTCATAAAAGAAATAGATAATGGTAGACGTGAGATTTAAAACGAAAAACAAAATGCTAGTCCAAAAGCTTAAAATGCCATCTTGCCTCTGAATGTCTGGATCATGAAAGCTGCAGTGAAAGTAACAAAAAGGGAGTTATTTCATGTTATCAAAAGAAATAGTAAATGGGTTTTTACTAAAAAAGAAAAGAAAGAAAAATTCATTTTGCGCCAATGTTCAGATTATAAGAAATACTAGAGTATCCATTTTATTGTTTGAAAATATTAGCTACCAGTGACTCTGTAATAACCATCACTGACTCCATCTTAGCTGTAAACTCCAACCTGGCTTCCCCCTCCCTACCACAGCCCCCGTGGGTGCATAACTGGGTCACACCGACGCTGTGCTTATGCCGTGCTGACTCTGTGCTTATCCTACCATATAACTTACACAACTACATCCTGCTTGGCAAGCACACCTGCTGTGGTGTGTAACTCTCTTTGAACCCCCCCTTGGTGATTGTTTGGAAATACTCTTAGTAACCAACAATCCTGGGAACCTCCTCCCCACTAGGTTACTAGCTAATTTGCCTGTTCTGCTTCTGTAAAATTCCGCTTTAGCTAGGCTCCCCCTCCCCTACCTAAATCAAGGTATAAAGGGAATCAAGCCCCTTCCTTGGGCCGAGAGAACTTTGAGCGTTAGCCATCTCTCGGTTGCTGGCTAATAAAAAGGACTCTTAATTTGGAACTCAGTGTGTGGCGCATTCCTTCTAACTCGCTCGTTATTACAGCTCATGCTTGTAATCCCAGCACTTTGGGAGACTAGGGTGGATTGCTTGAGCTGAGGAATTCTAGACCAGCCTGGACAACATGGTGAAGCCCCATCTCTACAAAAATGTACAAAAAAATTAGCCAGGCATGGTCTCAGCTAATCAGGAGGCTGAGGTGGGAGGACTGATTTGAGCCTGGGAGGTCAAGGCTGCAGTGATCATGCCACTGCACCACATCCTGGGCAGCAGAGAGAAACCCTGTATAAGAACAACAACAACAACAACGACAAAAAAGGAAGAAAATATTAGCTATCAACTTATTACTAACAACTGGTTTGAGGTGGTTAGAGGGAGAAAAAAACCCTAAGGTTATCTTTTTATGGTGGCTGGGCCTCAAAAGTTTTGCCACCAAATACTTGGGGACTATATTTCTGTATATGAGAAATTGTATGATGTGTTGAGATTACAGGTCATTTGGCTCGTAGACTTTATAATCCAAAATTTTAATCAAGAAATCTAATTTTGCCACCAATGATATATACTACCTTACCAAATAGCTATTTATAAATAAGCTCTTCAGTATAAACTAAGAAGCAGAAGAGGAAAGGGAGACAGCTTAGAATTCCCTCAGCATAAGGAAACAAGAATGATGACAGTAAGTAAACTTACATCTCCAACTTCATATATAAATTGTTTATGATGATTGCATTGGGTACTGATACTCATTTGTTAATTTGTTCATTCATTTATTCATTCAACAAATATAACAAATTGTTAGTAAAAAAATTTTAGCACTGTGTCATAACAATACTTTTACCACAGTTTCTAGTCTATAGGAAAGAAAATTGAGTAAGGAAACATTTTACTAAAGAATGCAGTAGATAGCAGTCAAAACAATATTTTATTAAAACTACAGGAATGGAACGGATCTTAAAGGTTGTCTCATCTAACACCTGTGTAATGCTCAACTCTTTATCTCTTTCGAAGTAGTTGTACAGCTTTTGCCTGAAAAGGTACAATGGCAGGAGCACATTATTTCTTGATACACCATATTTCAACTTTGCATAACTCTTGTTATAAGCAATTTGGTTCTCTTTCTCTATCTCTTACCCTTTCTTTCTCTTGATGGTATAGATGATTCTTCTGTTTATATCCAAAAGAAGAAAGAATAATCTTTTTTAAGGTTTATTATTAAGGTGAAAAGTACTAAAAGGAATGAACATGTATTTATTAAACATCTGTAATGTGCTGGGTAGTGTGCAACATGCTTTTCTTGAATTATGTTTTTCATTTTAAAGAGAAACAAAAAAATCAGAAAGTGTAACAACAAAGACATTCTATCTATTCTTTTAAGAGAAATGCAAGGGCTTCTTGCCTGGAGAGATGCTTGGAAGATTCCTTTATCTTTGCTAAGAATTCCTATGGGTAATTTTTGGCCTCTCCCATATTAGGAAAATAATATTAGGATATTCTGAGCACAATTATGCCCCTAATTTTACTAAAACTACTACAAGCATCATCTCCCTTACCTTCCTGGATATTTTGAACATAAATATTACCTAAAACTGACTACATAGTTGCAACACATTAGTTATTACATGAATCCTTTTCTTAAAGATATAGATTCCCTGTCTTGCATGTTCTGCTCATGTACCCCAAAACCTAAAATGCAATAAAAAATTAAAAAAAAAAGATATAGATTCCAATTAATATGTATTCCATAGCAGCCCTGAAAATGGGTCATTAATCCCAAACAGGCCACAGGGAGACAAGTCAGTTGATTAAGATGATATAGGTTGAGTATCCCTTATCTGAAATACCTGGGACTAGAAGAAGTGTTTTAAGTTTTGAATTTTGGGAGAAATTTTGAAATATTTAACATTATGCTTACTGGTTCAGCATCCCTAATTCAAAAATCTGAAATATGAAAGGCTTCCGTGAGCATTTCCTTTGAACATAATGTCAGCACTCAAAAAGTTATGAATTTGGAGCATTTCAGATTAGGGATACTCAACCTGTAACGGATTCTAAGCAGAAGCTGTTACCAAAAGCCTTCCTCTGCACAAGGACTACATAGGGATCAGAAACTGTTGCAACTATTCTAACATAGTAAACTCCTGATAGCATGACATTTAGGGTATGGTAAATATATTTGGGAGTGATGTTGGCAACAGGAGAAATCTCTAATGTAGATGACGGGTTCATGGGTGCAGCAAACCACCATGGCATGCGTGTATCTATGTAACAAATCTGTACATTCTGCACATGTACACTAGAAGAATGTATCCAGAAGAGGTAAGTATCTAATCTCTTATTTTAAAACACTAGGGACAATGACTAAAACCATCCCTACTGGTATTCTAATGTTTTGGTGAACTCTTTCTTTCTTTTTTGGGGGTTGAGAGGAGCTTAGGCCAAGACTCAGGACTGGCCCTAGCCCATAGTTGTTTCTTATGTTTAATCCAATGCCTCTTGCTTTAACCAAAGTCTATTTTTTTTTGTTTGATTCTTTATTGATATGTATGCAGCTACTAAAAAAAAAAAACAGAGGACTACTAGGGATTCAGACCCATCAAGAATGAAGATTTAGGACATCCTACCAGGGGAAGAACCCTGACTAGATGTGGTCCTGGCTTAGGGCAAAGGACACATGGAATAGAGAGTAGATGAACAAAGTTACAAATATCAGCTGGTGCAGTTGCTTGCGCCTGTAATCCCAGCTACTAAGGAGGCAGAGGTGGGAGGATCTCTTGAGGCCAAGTGTTTAAGACCAGCCTGGGCATCAAAGCAAGATCTCATCTCTGAAAATTAAAAAAAAAAAATTGGTTGGGTGCAGTGAGTATGCCCATAGTGCCAGCTACCTGAGAGGCTGAGGTGAGAGAATTACTTGAGCCCAGGAGTTTGAGGCTGAAGTGAGCTATGACAGTGCCACTGAACTCCAGCCTAGACAACAGTGAGACTTTGTCTCTTAAAGAAAAACAATCAATCTCAATTTCATAGCTAGCTATAGAAATGAAGGCTATAGCAGCTATGCATATTTTGTTCCTTGCTTTTGTTATACTTATCTTTGTCACTTTCCTTTAATTCTGTTTTATGGCTTCAAAAAGCAGTAATAGAGACCTTGCTAATGCAAAGTAATGTACCTTGCATATCATATACTAATAAATCACAGCTCTCTGCACTTGAAATAGTTTCTGCCAAAATATTATTTTCATAAGAAAATAAAAATAATTATAGGGGACTTTTTAAGCTGATAAACTGAAGAGTAATTTGAAAATAAGATTAATGAAAATAAGTATCTTCTATTCACATTAAAACAAAATTCAAATAAAATCTTAACAGCTAGGTGAGTGACAGAAATTTTTGGTTACCATTATGGCAGTATTAATGGCACAAGGTATCATTTCAAAGCAAGGTTCTAGGAGAGTTCATCTACCAAAATGTCTCACACTAAATGGTTTGAGACCTTTTAATTAAAACAGAATATATTTTTCATTAATAGTGAGTAAAAATGATAAGAAATGTATAAAACGGAGTGGAGCAAAATGCTGCATTAAGGGAAAAAAGCCTAGGAGGGGAGGCAGAACAAGAAGTCCAAATGATTCCCTTCAATGATCGTTCCCCTGTCCTCCTGCAGAAACACCAAACTGAACAACTATTCACATAAGAAAGCACCTTTGTAAGACCCAAAAATCAGGTGAGCAATCATAGTACCTGGTTTTAACCTCATATTAAAACTTTGGGTGCATGTGACCTAGTGAGACACCAGCTGGGGTGGTCAAGGGCTTGCTAATATCACCCCTCCACTAACCCCCAGCACTGCAGCTCACTCACAGCTCTGGGAAACTCCTTTCTTTCATTTGAAAAGAAGAGCGAGTAAAGAAGACTTTGTCTTGCAACTTGGATACCAGCTCAGCCA